TTGTTCTGCTTTGCTTTCGTGTGCAGCTTTTGCTTTACCTATTAAACTGACTTTATCTGAACCCATGAGTTTTCTCACTTTCACCCTTCCGATTCTCTCCCCCGTCCCAGGGATCGGGAGAGTTGGAGTGAGCAGTTGTGTGGGGCGTAGCTGTGAGCCAGGATTAAACCATGACAACCATCGTGTTCATTGTCCTTCTTCATCGGTTTTGGGAAAGCAACCGCTTTTCATCTCGACTGTGGAATGGGATTTTATTTGAATGTCCTGGACATCTTTAGTGTGCATCTGTTTGTTTTGGTTTTTTTTTTTGTGCATGGTCTTGTCATGCTTGCATCAAGTCTGGAGGAGAGCAACTAGCTTGCTCTTGAGTTAATTACTGAACCTTGCTAATTTCTCACTGAAATGAAAATAAACATTTCATATTAGTTTTCAGGCTTAGGCTTTCAATACTGAATTGTTCAGAACTGAATGCATAATGTAACAAAGCAAGCCAAATTTCTTCCTCTCTCTAGGGGCAGAAGTTTCTTTAAAATGTGGGAAAAAAATTGCCCTGAAGTTTTGTGCTGTCAGACTCTTGCTAGCAAGACTGGAAGGTGGTTTTGTAATGACTCTGTTTCAGTTCTGCTCATGCATTCAGGAAATACGCTTAGGATTGAAATAGATTTGAATAAAACATGCTTTTCTAGGAAGAAACGTCAGATAAGGAGGATTAGGGAGTTCTAGCAACTTTAAAGTTGGTCTTTGTGTGCTGAGTTCCTGGAAGAAATCTCAGTGGTAGTTTATTACAGTAAAACTTACATCATCTACTGTCAGTTTGGCAAATTCTCGTAATTGCTCTAACTGCCTTCTTCGCACAAAGAGATTTTGGGGAGTCCTGTTCTTCTGTCAGCCTTCTGAACTTAAGCAGCATAGTTTTTGGGTTTTTTTTTTTAAACTTGAATGCTTAGGCATATCTGGAAAAGTAATTTTGGGTGTTAGCTTCTGCCTAAGTAAAAGCACAATCTAGCAAACATCTGCAGATGAGTGCAAAGGTGGTGAGTGGAAAGTTAATGGTATTGGAAAAATCTAAGCCTGTTAACTGTGCTCAGGGCAGGCAAATCCTTGGTGGTTCCAAGGATGGTCGGGGAGTTGGGAGAACCACTGAGACCCCTCAGCTCTGGCCACTGCTTGGGGCAGGGTTTATCTGATGCCGTGGGAGTACGACTGAGAGGAAGGAGCCGTGTGGGAAGGCTCCCGGGACCTGTGACTGCAAGCAAGTCTGTGTCCCAGCTGCCTGGAGCTGCAGATCCTGGGAGCCTCAGCAGTGGATCCCTGATGCTGACAAGGACGTAAATTTTGCTATGCAGCTGCAGGCTCCCAGAAGAGTTTGATTCAGGAAATGCCATCTGCTGGTATTGTGGAGACAGTAAAATTTTCTACTCTTTTCTTTTTTAATTTGGCCTGAAATAATAAGTCATTTTGTAAAAGAAATCTTTTTTTTCTTTAACCTTCAGAAGAAAGAATGGGTGCATTATTTTAAGACAAACTATCAGCTGTTGTTTGAGCTTTTAGTTTTTTACAAGTAAACTTGACAATTGTATGTATACAATTTAAATATCTAGCAGCATTCACAAGCTGTGTATGTACTCAAGCCCTCTCCATCCACCTTGTGTGACTAAATTTTATTTTTCACCGTGGTACATGTGAAGTTGTGAAACAACTCAATAATATCACTGTGCTTATAGAAACCCTGTAGCTATTTAGGCTGTAGCTGGATCTTCACTTTTTCTTCCCACTTCCACATGTAGACTAAAGTGCAGTCACTCAGCTGATGCTACTGTTCCACTGACAAGACAAGATGAGGTTTCAGTCCATCCAGCCTTGCCCTGGGACCAGCCGTGGACCTTTTTGGGACAGTCTCACTGGCAGCAGGAGGCAGAGGATGAGGGGACACGCAGGTTGGGCACAGAGTCGGCGAGCTTTCGGGTCGAGCCGCTGTGTTTCTTGAGTGGGATGAGCTTGGACAGAGGTGTCTGGGCATCACTCCAGCTACAGCGTCTTGTCTAGCTGCTTCATCTCCCTATAGAAAACCTGTTATAGGTATATAGTCTAATAAATACTGCTCTCTTTATCAAAGCTTTTATTTTTTGATCCCACTTCTCTCTCTGTTGTCTGAACATTCCTTGCCAGTTACTCATGAAGATGGGCCGTACCTTATGCTTTCTGATTAAAACTTGGTGAACAAGAGGTACAAGCCCTGAATGAATACATACAGCTTTTTCTGGTTTGCCCTGCATTTTTATTTTGTTTTGGGTTTTTTTCAGTAGGTTGTTATTTTTCCCTCATGTTGTGAGAGCCTTTGGACTTTGCTTCAGGAGGACTTGCAGCCTTTGCCATACTATTGTGCTCTGCGGTGGCTTTCCTATTTTTGCTTAATACTTTTGCAGTGGAGACACCGAAAAGGAGCCGGTGAAGCTGTTCTTTCTCCAAGTTTGCCGAATGTATGAACTGTGCCGAGTCGCGTGCTGCTGAAAAATGCTTGGAACCGTCAGCATGGCTGAACTGTTCAGTAGGGAACAGAACCTGGGAGCTGGCTGCCCTGCCCCCTAATCTCCCACTGCTTCCTTTGCCCCGTGGTGCCAAAAAAATCTCTCACCCAGCACTCTGCCTGGCTGTTGAGGCACCTACCTCTGCTGGCTGCCTCTTCCCCCTCTTCAGTGTGCTCAGTGCAAACACCCTGCAACAGATTCAGTGATGGAAATACAGAATATGCACTCACATTTAACACAAACAGAAGATGCAGACTGCTTAAATGGTACCTATATTAAATAATTTGATATTGGAGTATCTACAGAAAGTGGAGGGGAAAAAAAAAAAAGCTTGCTTCTGAAGATCTTGGTTTAATTGTTTTCAATTTTGTTTAACTTGTAGTCGTTTAAGAGTTATTAGCTAGAAATATGAATCACTGCAGCAGCCTGCATGTGTAATAGTTAAAAAAAGAAAAAAAACAACGGCCCACAAACCAAGACAAAACCAAACAAAAAGCACTGCACAAAACTCAACAGTGCAGACAACTAGTTTTTGCAGAGCGCCTTATTTTCCATGTAGTCTCTGGCCATCAGTGTCTGGGACCAGTGGGGCAGCATCAAGCCCTGGTGTGCCATTTTGCAATTAGTGTCTCTGGCGTGAGTCCATGCTACAGCCAAAAAAGGCAGCAGCCCTTGCAGCTTCTTTCTCATCCCTTGTTCTGGCACTCACGTTTGCGTGGCTTTACAGTGAACCAGTTGAGGGGAAGCTGATCCTCTTAAACCTTTTTATTTATTTGTTTTTATTGGATTAGCTTTCAGTCAATTGATTCCTTACTCTGACTGTCTGTGCAACCACGCGAGCCTGGTTTGCTGCACGAGTGCTCAAGGAGGGGGAGGAGGCAGGCGAGGCACATGATCTTAGGCCATCCCTCCTGGTGTAGGTGCTTGAACTTAATGAGCTGGTGGCACCTGCAGCAGTTACGTGATTATTCTGTGTATGCCCAGGCATTGTGCTCTTACTTTAGGATGTGAATGGAGTGAGATGCAGACAGTGAAGCCAAAGCAAGCAGGAAAGGTGTGGAGACAAGAGCCCTACATAGGAGCATGCAGGAGGTGTCACTTGCAGGAAAAATCTTGAGAGAGCTAACTTGGAGGTAAAGTTTGAAATGTGTAGAAATGAGGTAGTACTGTTTCCCAGCACACCTTGGAGACTTTTAAAAGTAGAATCCCAGGGATGACAGCTTTAACCAGCTCGTGTTTGGGTAAGGGTTACTGTACTTAGTTGCCACCATCCAGCTTCCAGCCCTCTGGAGGCCTTTCCTACCATGTGAGGGTCAATAACGACCAGGAGCAAATTGCACTTAAATCTCATCTCCTGAGATAACTCCTTTAGTGGACAAAGGCAGAGCGTTGCTTGGAACTTAGTGTGTTTTTCACAAAGCTGCTGACGCAGCCTGCCACAGCATCCTTGTGGCCAAGGTGGGGAGGTGTAGAGGTGTAGAACTGGCTGGACCATCAGGGATGTGGGGTGGTGCTTAATGGTTTGAGGGTTTGTAGGTGGATGGCTACTGGTGGCATTGCTCAGGCCTTGGTAATGGGGCTGATGCAGTGCAACACCTCACTAACAACCTCCATGAGTGGGCAGAGAGCAGGCTATCAGCAAGTTTGTCCCTGGCACCAGACTGGGAGAGGAAGAAGCTGTTGATGTGCTGGAGGGCAGGGCTGCCATTCACACCAATAACCTGGGGCATGGGTTGACTAGTCTTGCCCACTTCAGCAAAACAGGGCTGGATGAGGCAGCTGCCCTGCAGAAAAGACCTGGAGGTCCTGTGGGCAAGCTGCACGTGAATCAGCCAAAGTTTTTCTGCGGTTCTGTGAAACTTTATGCTGGAGGAAGATTTCCATCTTAAAACGTGTTATAGAGACCTTAGGAAAGGACAGAATAATAAAGCTTGAGATGTTCATAATCCACCCAAACTGAGCAATTCCTCAACATGTGGATGCTGAGGCAGTGTGTGTGATCATTAGGGGTTTGCCTGTGCGAGGGTGGCAAAGGTGCAGGAGTGGCGAGTGGATGTGAAATGTGAAGGCTAAATGTGTTTTTCTTGAGTGCTTACAGGAACGTTTTAGCTGAAGTCCTACATTGGTGATTTCTTTCAAACAAAGCCACACTGCTGTGAGAAGCACTTAGGGCTTTTGTTCTTTCTGCTTTCTGAAGTGCCCTGTAAGCGAGGTGAGAGAAAGAGCAGGTGGCATCCTGTTTGTGAATATGAAACATGTCCTGCTAGATAAAGCACAGAGGTTGCTTCCAGGCTGAGAAGAATATATTGAAAGAAGGAAAGAATTGCTTTTTTTCCTTTACAGGAGAGTAAAGATGAAACTGTTGTGCAGTAGTGCTTTTTAGGTTACTCTGACCAGAAATTAGGTTACTGTATTTAACGTGTTCTAGTGCTTCTTCTAATGGAGTTTCTTGCAACCGTTTTTGTTTTCCAGCTCCTTGCAAGTGTTCACTAATAGCACAGCGAGCAGAACTCTGTACGTTAATGAAAAACTACCAGCAAGCTCTTCATGACGCGGATGTGCTCTGCCGAAACAAACCCCACTGGCCTGCGGTATGGTGCTTGCATATCGTGAAAACTAAAACGAAAGCTACTTGTTCTCTGTGGTAGGCACAGTGCTGATGAGGGTGGCGTTGGAAGGACATCACAGAATTAACTTGAAATGTCTATAGTAATCTGAGTTCTTCGTAGGACAGTTTGGAAGGTTCTTAGCGTGTCTCCTGCTGGTGGGATTTCAGTGGTTGGTAGCTGGTGATGTGGTTTGGTTTGTGGCGACATCCATCCATCCATCTTTTTAAGGGTGTTGCTGCAGCTTGGTGGCAGAATTGGGTCCATAAGGCTCTAGCAGCCTGTGATGGCCCTGCAGGCTCCTCTGGGATGGTGTGTCCCAGTGAGTGGGTGGCTTTAACAGCCAGCTGGCCAATTTGTCTTTCTGAGGGGCGTCCCAGGCTGTATTTCAGGATTATTAATTTTTTTCCCTCTTTTTAATATTAGGAATTCATATCTATGATTTCTGCCTGCATCATGATGATTTGTAGAGGGGATTGAGGTTTTTTTTTCCTTAATGAAATGCTACAAGGAGCCCTGGTTTGTGGGCGGTTTGAAGCAAGCATCAGAAATAATGTTATGAGAGAGAAATGGAAGAAGCATGTGGTGCCTGTTGTTACTGCTGGTTGCCTGAGCCTGACCTGGGTATCCCAACAGCTTGCCCCACCTAGGATTACACCTCCAGTCAGTCCCTCACCTGTCCACAGCAAAACTGCAGCACAGGTGTGACTAGATAAAGCCCTTGGGTGCTACTTGGAGAGCAGAACAGGGAATTGGGGAAGGATTTTAAGGCAGATCTTGACTTCCCTGCTAAGACTAAGGAGGTGTTACATGAACCTCTTAGCTGCCTGCCTCAGCATGGGGGGTTGCAGCTAGCTTTCTGTTTCCAGCTGAAGGATGATGTGGGGCAAGCAGAGAGGTGCTGTCTGAAGTATCTAGTTTCTCAGAAGTTAGATACTTGTTTCTAAAAGGCTAGGTGATTTGTCACCCATTAAAACCAAGAAATTGATCATCCTGGCATAACCAGCAGTGTTACAGACACATTTCTCTTGTGTTTGGGTATGTGAGAGCTTCCATGTAAGCTGTACTAATCCAGAATCCATGTTCTCCAGGAATTCTGGGCATCTGCTTTTTGTATCTTGCAACATCCAGTGGCAGAGGTTAGCTGAAACATGCACTGTGCAGTTTAAATAAAATAAAACACAAAATTAAACTCATTTGGGGAGTGGCTCCTGGGAGACAAGCATTCACTTACGTTTCAGTTACCAGCAAGGCAAAAGGTGCTGGTCATGGCTTGCTGAGTTGCTGGTGAAGCTCTTGGTTCTGCTGTCGTCATTAAAACAATAGACAAGTTGGTTTCTTTTCAGTTGCTGTGAAACCCAGGTCTTTGGGCTCTCTGAGGCAGGGAGAAGTTTCCAGTTGTACTTCTATGTGCTGGGTAGAAACAAATGCCCTCCTGCCTGGATCCTGTTCAATACCTTCAATCCAGTGCTTGTCAAGGCATGTGAAAGTAGGAAAGGGAAGGTGGCAGCGGTAGTCTCTGAGGTGTAGGGGCCTCAAGTCCCTGAGCCTAACTTGTGGTGGTAGGTCTTTAGCTGTTTTGTCCATAGACAGCCCAGCTGTCCTCAGGTAAGGAAATAGCTCTTGCAGCCCCAGAGGACAAGGCTGAACAACCTTGTAGCCATCCTAGTGCAGTGGAGTCACCTTGACTGCCATGTCAGGCACGTTAGGACCTCTTTAAGGAGGTTTTATAGAGGCTGTCCAAGCATCAAAGTAAGAGGGTCAGGGTCTGGCCTCACAGTAGCTCTCACTGCATTCAGGAAAAGAAAAGTATATCTCGCCTTGAGATGGGTGTGTACTGAGACTTGTTCAGGTCATCAAATGACATGCATTAATTAAGCTGTCCTACGCAGTGCCCATTACTTGCTTTTGGTACAAGCTTCCTTCTTGCTGATAGTAGAAAGGTAAAGATTGTAACGGGCTTCAGCTGTATTGAAAGAGTCAGGGAGGTACCTGCTCAGGAAGATTATGTGATGCCAGATCTTTTGGCATTAGTCTGAGGAGTAGAGATGTATATCTGCTTATCTAATCAGTCTCTTAGACTAGGGAAATTGTGCTTTCAGCACAGACTAGAGATACTCAAGTGGATCAGAGGTGGACTTGGCAGCCAACAGTTCTGTCTCATAAGCAAGAAGCAAATGTTAAAATGTGTATTTAGTTTTTTTCATTGTTAGGGAAGTGGGATTTGAACTGCAAATCAATATCCTCTCTTGCTGCTAGTAACAAGTAACGTAGGACTTGTCCCTAAGCTGGCTTCCATACCTGTTGTCCGTAGATGTGTTACCCTAGTCCATAGGATGGACTGAAAGGTTTCAGGTGAAGCATTGATAAGTTGACCTAAATTCCTAGTGTTATTGGTCTTCTCTAGCTAAATAAAATAGGTGAAAAAATCATCTCTGTCCTGATAAGACACCCAGGAGAAGTGAGTGTACTGAACTTAAAATCTTTTGTCCCCCTCAGCTGCCACCTCCAGCCTGCCCAATGTTGCTGGCATTCCCATGCAGCTTTATTACTATTAAGATGGTCCTGGTATGTGAAACCGTTCTCTGGGGTATCAAGCCTGATGGAATATATGGTTGTCTCAGTCCCTGGGGAAGCAAACACCCTTTCTGATTCTGTACCACGTGCTCCCAGAGGAAAAGAGCGATGTGCTTTTGGCAGGGGGTGATACAGCAGTGAGTTTGTGGGGGATCTTTCAGTAAAAGCGACTTGACTTCCCTTTGGTTGCATGTGTCAGAGTTTGTTACCTAAAAAGCATCTTAGTTTTCACCTGAAGAGTGGTGTGAACTTCCAAGTTTGTTTGCTGTTATCTTGCTGTCACTTCAGAAATTTTTAGGTTTGTACATTTCCTTTGTGCAAACAGGGTCATTATGTGAAAGCAAAAGCTCTTTCTGGATTGGAAAGGACTGAGGAAGCATTGAAGGAATTTCTCTATTGTGTTGCCTTAAATCCTGAATGGAGCTCAATGAAGAAAGAAGCCCAAAAGGTATAAAATGTGCTTACTGGCCATTTCTTGGCCATCATGCTGATCTTACTCCTGCAGCCAAGTAAAATTCATGTTATTTCAGGTAATAGTAAACAGTCAAAGGATAATTTGGTTCAGTACATTCTCCATTAAACCTTCTAAGCGTTATGGTGTGCAAGGTGCTTCTTGGGTTTGGTTGATGCATCAACCAGAGGAATTGTCTATTTGTGAATTCCACTGTAAATCTGTAGGTGTGGCCACTGTTGTTCATAGATGAAGCTTGCAGAGTGTCATCTGGATTTGAGTACATCTAGATTTTGTAGGCTCAAGGCTGCAAATTTCAGCTCTCATAAGAAAACCACTTTCAAGTGGCAAGTGGCAGGGTATTGAAAGAGGGGCCTGTGTGCTCACCTGTCCTGGAAAAATTCTGCAGTCTCTGTAGTAGTCTGTCCCTTGGGAAGTTGGACACACTTAGTACTCGCCAACCATCATCAGGTGCTCCACAACCATCTCTGCCAAAAAGCAGCTTTTTATAAAAAAGAAATGGGGATTTGCCAAGGCGCTTGGTGGGTGCTAGTGAAAAGGAGAACAGGCTCTGCATGGCTTTTAGCTAGGGGTGAAGTCTGCTCAAGGATAAAGGAGAGGGATGCAGAGCATGAGGAGAGCTTAAACATGGCCCTGTTAACTGGTTTTGATAGGAGAGCACAGTTTGGAGGCTTCTGCAGGCAGGGGTCTGACTGTCATAGTGAGGTCAGGGTAGGATGAGAGTTAGGGTTGAGGCGGGAGAAGGATGCAATGGATTGGCACCCCGGGTGCTCCTGGGGAGCAGAAGCCTTTGGGGAGGGAGGTGGACACCAGAAAAGCACCTTGGGACATGTCTGTGGTTGTGGTGGGAAACTGCCATTCAGGTCTATGGGCATTGAGGAATGCGGGATGTCCTGGTTGTTACAAGCTTCTTGGCCTCCAGAAGCTATGACGTTCGTGTATCTCTGTTTGTACAAACAACTACTTGTATCGTAATTTCTTTTATTCTTTTCTTTTTCCCTCTCTCTAATTGACTAGATAATGTGTGAGATGTTTTTCCCAGCCTTTGAAAATGTGCATGATAGTCTAACAGCACCTTTCTCTAGTCGAACATCCCACACAAGATTGAAACCTGCATTTCTGAGTAGCATAAACACACAGTCGGCTGCAGAAGATAGCTCTGTTGCTGGGTCCTCAAAGGTAAAGTAAAAAGTGCTCAACATGAAAGTACCAAAAGTAACACAAGAATCTGTCTGATCTGTGTGACATTGTCTCTGTTCGCACTCACGTAGGCACATGCTTTCATGGTAAGCCTGTTTTCTGCATTGCTCTTGAATGTCTTGTTGGGATATACTTCCTCAGAAGAATAAGACAATGAAGCTCTTTATTCAGAAAACAATCTGATGCCTTCATATGGGGGTCAATTATATTTTTGCATTTTTTTTTCCATTCAGGATTTTAGTGTGACAGGAGCATAATTTTGTAGAGGCAGGAGCTGTAGGGAGGGAAGAGGCCCTATTTCATGCAACTGGAAGGGGAGCCTTTGATGTAGACCTTTCTCCATTGCTAAACTCATTGTAGGGATGATGATCTGTTGGTGATGTACAACTAATAGAAAAATAGAAAAAAAAAACCCCTAAACAACAAAGGAAGATTATCTTATTCTGTATATAACTGTTTTTAATTTTTTTAGGATACTGTGTTCAGGTTAACAAAAACCCCGTCCCAGGAATCTGATGTATTTAGAAGCACTGACTCTCCTGTTTCCCATCATGTTCTGGATCTCTATTTTGAAGACAACAAGAAGTCTTTGGGAACTATTCTCTCCAGTTTACCTGGGGCTGGCTTAAAAAGAAAGCTGTCCAGTGATATGAGGGATTTACAAAGCTTGGATGTCCCCAATAAGATTCCTAAAAAAGGTTTGTATTGTTCCTTAGAAAGAGGATTTCTTTTGCACGTACTGAAAAATGTTAAAGTACTTTATTCTTCCTCCGTTTTTATAGGTGTCAATGAAACATTCCCTGCAGGGATTGGAATAATATTTTGTTGTCTGGTGTGCCTGTTTCTGCTTTAGCAGCCTATTTTCCTTATTTCAGGGCAGTTTCAATTAATTCAGTGAACACTGTGCTCTCAAATGGGCTATTTCCACTGTGTAATCCACAAACAGTTCAGTCTTTGTGTTGCTGGTGCCATTGCCATTTTCTAGGTCTTGGAGGTATAGCTGGGCTTCATTGTCCTTCTATATGAAGGAGAGATGCAGTAAGCCTGGAAACTAATCTTTAACTGGCATCAGAAACAGTCACATGCAACTTTACATGAAATTTTCCAAGCAAACAAAGAAGCCTTTTGAAGGATAATAAGCTCCTCCAGTTTTCTGTCCCTTGATAGCTGTGCTTACCAATTGGTATGCTTCTCAAGCTTCCAGCAAGGACCTCCAGAGTGGTTTTAGTGCTCCAGGATAAAAATACTGAAGGCAGTATATTGCCATGAGTGGTGAAATAATCGGTTAAAAGGGACTTTGACTATGGCACTATTTACTAGTGTGATTTTTTTTTTTCACCTTAAAGGAACAAAACAACCCACACCTTGACAAATTGTGACTTCTGCCTTGAAATATTAAAAGTCTTCAAGTGCTGCTGACTGACTGCCACCTCTGCAAATGATCAATGTGTGGCCAGTTTCTGATCACGTTGCTGTGAAGGGAAAAACTCTGTGCTTGTCTGTGAACTGCAGACTCAGTAAATAAATTGTGAAATCTGACCCGCCTGTATCTTCCCAGTGAAGGCCAGAGATCACATTTTACCCGCAACCATTAATTTCTGGTCTGTGCTACATCCCGATGCCATGTTACTATTTGCAGAATGAACACAGTTAGGTTCTTGCTCTATTACTAAATGCTAACATACGAGATGTAGGTTAGAGATAACACTGTTTTTCTTTGTAGGCTGCACAACACCACTGCCCTCTCCCCTATACCATCTGTGTTCAAGATAAACCAGATGCTGAGAATAAGTTATCCTTTAACAAAACATCTTAGTGTTTTAACTTAACATAAAAAGCTGAGCTGCTTTTTTTTTTTTCAAATGGTCAAGAATTTGGTTAATAAAAAGGATGTGAAGGCAGCATTCATGACTCTGTTGCAAGTCATCACTGAGCAACAAAGATGTAGATTGTAAAAAATGTTGCAGAATCTGCTTGTGTAAATGTCATCAGAAGCTCAAGCTGACAGCTTTTGAGCTTATATGCCGCTGCTGTGAAGTTTGAAGTCCGTAGCCTTTAAGCGTGTTAACTACAGGGATATGTAACACCTCCAAAAACCAAGATGGGCAGAATTTTAAGTGTAGTGGTTTGCCTCCATGTTTGCAGAGTGCTGAGCTAGTGAAATCAATATTAGCTAATGCAGCTCCAGTAGTCCTTAAAGTTTAAGCCGTCTGAAACTTGGGATTTGCACAGCAGCCTCGTCTAGAAGAATGTAAGCTTTTTATACTTGTGAGAAAAATTTTCCCTGCTGAGAAATCTATAATAAACACTGATGAAATAGTTTGACTGTGTGTAAACAAATTAAATTCTGGACTTAATGTACTTTAAAACATCTGGCCTGCCTGATGTGGGAGTGGTGATGGTGGTGGGAAAGCAATAGCAAAGGGTTTTAGAAACTAGACTTTAAAAAAAGAAAAAAAAAAACACCAACCATTTTTGGAGAAGTAAATCATGGGTATTCAGCTCTAAAGTGCTTTCTCTGGTGATAGACAATATCCTCTGCTCTCCAAAACATTTGCTGCCAGAAAGTCTAAAACTTAGATGGAAAATATGTTTGTTTGGAACAAAACTTGAAAAAAATAAAAGAGCAAAAGCGTGTTCTTTATGGATAAACAACTTAAGCAGCATCTGAAATTGAAGTAATACTTAAATATTTACTATAATCATCTTCCTAACTACCTAGATGCAGATGTTGTACCTGAAAACACTGCCATCACTTCAAGTGAAATACCAACAACTCTGGTGGATGCAGCGGACTTTGAGTGTTCCCTCTGCATGAGGTATGACTGCATTGACCTGGGATTATGATCAGAAAGCCTTTCCAGCTTGCGAAAAAAAGTTTTCAGGGTGTTGAAAGTGAAATCTGCTAGTGAATATCTAAATCCTTACTCTGTTATTTTTTGTTGAACCTTACAACTGGTGAATCTTTAGAGGTGTGGTTTTCTCCATTAGGTGTTGTTTTCTCCATTTGTTTACTACTAAAAATGAAAAGCTTTGTTTTATCATTAGATAAAACTGTCACCTGTGCTTTATACAAAAACAGGAAAGGAAGAGATAGCTAGGTCAGTCACTCCCTTCCACAGTTTGGGAATCCACATTGTTTGCGTTGGCAACTTAGCTTTTCTGTTCCGTGTTTTCATGCTCAGGTTGTTCTACGAACCTGTTACCACTCCCTGTGGACACACCTTTTGCCTCAAATGCCTTGAGCGTTGCCTTGACCATAATCCATATTGCCCACTCTGCAAAGAAAAGCTGTCAGAAGTAAGTATGTTCTTGCTTAAATTGACAAAAAACCACAAAGCTGTGTTTTCTGGAAGCACCTGTGCAGGGATTTCCTGTGCACTGCTCACAAGCTGTGTCAAAAGTAGCGTGGCCAGGAGGTCAAGGGAGGGGATTCTGCCCCTCTACTGTACTCTCATGAGACTCCACCTGCAGTACAATGTTGAGGTCTTGGGCACCCAACATAGAAGGACAGGAATCTGTTGAAACGGGTTTGGGAGGAGGGCCACAAAAATGGTCGGGGGACTGGAGCACCTCTCCTGTGAGGGTGGGCTGAGAGAGTTCGGGCTGTTCAGCCTGGAAAAGAGAAGGCTCTGGGGAAGACTGTATTGTGGCCTTTCAATTATTTAAAGGGAGCTTATAAGAAAGATTAGGGCAGACTTTTTGATAGGTCCTGTAGCAATAGTGGAAGTTATTAGTTTAAACTAAAAGAAGGTAGATTTAGACTAGATACAAGGAAGAAGTTTTTGTACAGTGAAGGTGGTAAAACACTGGAACATGTTGCCCAGAGAGGTGGTAGAAGCCTCATCCCTAGAAACAGCCAAGGCCAGGTTGGACGAGGCTTTGAGCAACCTGATCTAGTTAAAGATGTCCCTGCTCACTGCAGGGGGGTTGGACTAGATGACCTTTAAAGGTTTTTTCCATCCCAAACTATTCTTTGAAACCAGAACAACGCAGTAGTACTCACAGTATCCAGCTGAGCACAGACCTCATTTGCTCCAGAATATGTTCTGTCGTTCCTTGGAAGGAATGAGGCTTAAAGGAATAAAAACTTCTAGTATTGTGTGAGACTTATGCCTGGTGAGTCCCAGCCACAGCCCTGTTCGTACCACGTCTCCAGTTTGTGTATCTGCCTGTGGTGAAAGAGGAATGGTCACTCCTTGATCAACATTTCTGCTCCAGCAGACATCACATGTCTCATACTTGGAGTACTTCTTTCCAGTAACCTGGCAGCTCTAGGTGAAAAGAATATCTGTATCTTCTGCAAAAGTGAGGAGGGACTGCCTTTTCTTGCTGATAGTACAGCTTCTGCCAAAAAAAGGGCATGAGATTATAGTTAAATGGGCACTAGATTGAGCCACATATTCTAAAGTGGAAATTTTGATGCCTGAAGGCTGGAAAGGAGGAGGAATCACTGTGGTCCTGATTAACATGCTCTTTGGTCTTAGGAAAGGGATGGATTGAGAGAAAGAGATGTAACTTGTGTTCTTGTTATCAGACTTAAGAGTTGACTCTTCCTTGCAGTTTTTGGCAAGCAGAACTTACAAGAAGACCGTCCTTACAGAAGAACTAATAGTCCGTTACTTGCCAGAGGAATTATCTGAAAGGAAGAAAGTTTATGAGGAAGAAATGAAGGAATTGTCAAAGTAGGCTTTCTTTCTGCTACTGACAGCTGTTATAAAAATGTATTTTTTTTTTGATCTAAATTGCCAAAAAAGCTTCATTTGCCTTATGGAAATGCATAAAATGAATGAATTTGTAAATGAACCTGCCAGATGTTTTGCATTTTTTACATTTTTGTTGCAGATAAACAAGTAACAGTATGTTTGGATGATAGAGAGGCACAACAATTATCTGTATTTTAAAGATAATTGCTTTTTCCTCTAAATACAATATGATAGCTTTAAAAGTTAGTGTGGGGGTTTTTTTTAATGAGAGTAAAATTCAAATTATAAATACGTCAGGAGAAGTTCAGGGATCCTGTTTTGTCAGTGCTTTGTGGATCTTGTGATATAACTCCACTGAAAGTAAATACAAACCAGAAAAATAAGCCTGAAAAAAATAGGTGAATTTTAATGGGCTTTTTCAAAATTAAAGGAGGTCTTTAGTGAACTTGAGAATTTTTTTGTCATCTTGCTTTGAGCATGGCTAGTTCTTAGGTACTATATTACTATGTAAAGTTATAACCAAAATCTTGCCGTGTGTATTTAGGCTAGCTGTGTCAGTATGTGCATATCGGGGAAACTATTATAATTTCCTGACTTTTTCTCTGTGAAAGTGGATTAGTGAGTTTGTTTCCTTAATCTATTAACAGAGAGAGTACTGAAATACATTTATCATGTAAAAATTACAAACCTTGGCCAGATAGGTGTTTATGAAGAGTGAATCTAAGGAAACCACTGGAATCATTGTTGTATTAAGGATTTGTGCTGAATATATCAGTACCCAGAAAAAAGCTGAGCTTTTTTCTTTTTTTTTTCTTTTTAACAATTATCTTACAGTTTGAATAAAGATGTTCCCATCTTCGTATGTACCATGGCCTTCCCTACCATTCCTTGCCCACTCCATGTCTTTGAACCTCGTTACCGCCTAATGATAAGAAGATGCATGGAAACTGGTACCAAGCAGTTTGGCATGTGCTTAGCTGACGAATTAAAAGGGTAAGGAGATGAGCTGAGAATGTCCTGTTGTTGCAGAGGCTGTTGTGATGCTAATGGTGTACTAGAGCCCAGTATACTTGTCTCCCCAAACCTTCAAGTCCTGTATCAACCAATAATAAACTTGCTGGCTTTTTAGTTTTATGTCTTAAAACTTTTGTTTGATACAAAGATGTAAATTCAGTGGCTTCCCTGTTGGATAGCTATCAAGGAAACAACTCCTCCTGCTACTACAGGCCCCAAAAATAGCACTTAATTGTCTGTATGGTTGGAAAATTTTCTAGCCTGTTTGTTCTAGTGAAAGCTGACTGACTGGATAAGGTATTTCCTCTGTCTACTTAGTTAAAAAAAAATCAAAAAAAAAATCTGGACCTTCTATAATTTTCCTGCATAGGTGGTATTATTTGCATGAGACAAAGTATACCCTTGGCTGAAAGTCTGTTTTGCTGCTGAATGTTGAATTTTGATGTTTGTCTTGACTGCTGTGTTTCAATGTCTAAACAATCTGCAGTGAATGGGTTACATTGTCTTTCTATATGAACTTACCTTTAATTAATTTTTGTGAATTCTGACACTGATGTGTTTCCAGCTCCCTATGTGGAGACTGACTAGATGATCCTTCCAACCCAATAAAAACCTTCAGCTTTTTCAGTCCTTTATAGATAATAGGGTTTTGGGTGAAGAGGATAAGATGCTCATGGGGAAAAAAATGATGTAGTTTTAAGAGAGGTCTGTCCTACAAGAGGTGAGTTGCAAGAAAAAGTACATGAACCTTTTGGAATTTCATAGTGTTCTTCATTAATTTCACATAAAATGTGATCCAGCTGCCATCTAAGTCAAGAGTATTGACAAATATAACGTGCCTAAAATAATAATGCAAAACCAATTCTGATCCTCCAAGTCTTTATTGAACACACTCATTCAACATTCAGAATGCTAGTGGAAAAAGTGAACCCTTGCGTTGACCTCAGAAAAGCTAATTGGAGTCAAGTAGCTGGAGTCTTGTTAGGAAAATGAGTTTGGAGGTGTGAACTAGAGCTACGTTGACTGCCAAAACCCACTCAAATTCTTTGAGTTTGCTCTGCACAAGTCATATGCTTACGCAAGCTGTGCCTCGCCAAAAAGAGCTTTCAGAGGATCTGCGATCAAGAATTGCTGATTTATGTAAAGCTGGAAAGGGTTACAAAGTGATCACAAAGACCTTAGAAATTCACCAGTTGACAGTGAGGCAAACCAGTGATCTACAAATGGAGGCACTTTAGGACTGTGGCTACTCTACCAAGACTTGTCAGTGAGCTAAAGGAACAACCCCGAGTGACAGCCAGAGAGTTGAAGGCATCATCGGAACGGGCTAACATCGGTGTCCTTGAGTCTACAGCACATAAAACACTGAACAAGCAGGGTGTCTGCGGCAGGACACCACGAAAGAAGCCGCTGCTTACTACAAAGAATGTTGCTGCACACCTGAAGTTTGCGAAAGAGCACATTGACACTCCACAGTGGTACTGGCAGAATGTTTAGTGGACTGATGAGACAAAGACTGAACTATTTGGAAAGAACACACAGCACTACAACTGTCGTAAAAAGGGCACTGCATATCATCATGAAAATACCATCCCAACCATAAAGTATGGTGGAGGAAACATGATTTGGGCCTGCTTTGCTGCATCAGGGCCAGAGCCAGCCTGCAGGTATTGAGGGGAAGATGAATTCTCAAATGTATCAAAAAATTCTTCAGGATGATATGAGAATGTCTGGAACTCTGTAGACATTGGGTGATGCAACAGGACAATGACCCAAAACACCGGAGCAAGTCCACATCAGAATGGGCTCAGAAGAACAAAATCTGCCTTTTGGAGGGACCAAGTCAGAGCCCAGACCTCAACCCAACAGAGATGCTCTGGAATGACTTGAAGAGAGCCAGACACATGGGACGTCTGAAGAACATGACAGAGCTAAAGCAGTTCTGCCGGGAAGAACGGGCTAAAATCCCTCCTGAACAATGTGCAGCTCTGATCCACAGCTACAGGAAGCGCTTGGTTGAGGTTATTGCTGCCAAGGTGGACGTCAACCAGTTATTGATTCCAAGGGTTCACTTACTTTTTCCACAAGCATTTTGAATGTTGAATGAGTGTGTTCAAGACAGACATGGAGGATCAGAATTGATGCTTTTTTGTTATTATTTGAGGCACGTTATATTTGACAATACTTTTGACTTAGATGACAGTTAGATCACATGTTATGACAAATTAATGTGGAACACACTGAAGTTCCAAAAAGGTTCACATAGTTTCTCTTGCAACTATAGATACTTGCTGACGTCAGAAGATAAACCAGCGTGATGCAGGCTGTAGAGTGGATGACGAGCGTGGGAATTTTTAAGAACGTGTTAGACAGGCATCCTTAGGAGCAGCATTTTTGTAGGTAATTATCACTGGAGCTGAGAGGAGGGCAGTCATACTGGAGCTTGGCAGCCTTTCCTTGTCCAGTTCGGGATTTTTTGTTGCTTTTTTTTTTTTTTTTGCCTTCTTCTTCCAGACTGGATGGTAAGGTGGCAGTAAGGATACAAGAGATGCTACAGCTTCTGGCTTGCCATTTGGCAATCTGTTAGTGCTGCACTCAGTGGAGTTCACGTTCTAACAGCAGCTGATGCTCCACAGTCCCTTTCAGGCCTGCTACCAATTTTTGGAAGCAAACGCTTGTGAGAGCAAGGACCAAATGACCCTAGGACATCAGTGATAACTCCCTTTATGTCTGTTGAGGCTTGTGGAAGAGCCAAACTTATTTGAAGTCAGGTCTAATACAGAGGGCCAAGGGGTTACAATCTCAAAACCCCAAGAATTGGTTTATTAGATAATACCATAAAGGATGCTTTAAAATGCAGTCAGTACAATTAGGTTTATGTCCTGTCTGTCTTGAAATACTAAAATAATTAAACTTTTTAAGCATGATAACTTAAACGCTGAAGAGGAGGAAGCCTTCATCTGCAGACACCTCGCAGGCTATTGTAACTTCTTCTACAAATAAAGCAGTTCTTCTGTTTATTCAAAATTGCGAAATCAGCTGGGAATACAAAAAGTGGGGAAACTTGTTTTGCCTCATCCATAAGACATGGATGCATACCTCCCTTGAAAAACACAATAAGACATGTTCAGTTCATTAACTTCTTCTGGTTTATTTCTCCATTTTAAATTAAAACTAGGAGAAGAATAAAAGCTTTTAATGTGTCAGTACACTTTTTGTACCCATCTCCAGGTGCATTATCTCTTTAATCAAAGTCACTTTCTATGCAAAAGTAACTTCTCAAATGATGACAAAAAAGAAAAAAATCATCACTTTTTAGATTAATTTCTAAATTCAATATGTCTGTCACGAAAATAATTTAAAACAATTTTTATTGTTTAGTGTTTATTCTAATATTGCTATAAATAAACTCACTTTTTGTAATCCCAGTGGTAGAGCACGAGGGCCTGGTTGTGTGCAGCTGTACTCTTCTTGCTCTCTCCCAGTTCGTTCTGTACAATGGCTAGGAGAGAGCAGTTGTTCACAGTGGTGAGCTTATTTTTTTTCTTAAATCCATGATTCCTGGTAGAGCAGAAAGAGGAGTCATTTCCCTGCAGTGTTGCTGTTTCTTCATCACTTCATTAAGAAATGGCCAAGCCCTAGCTAAACAAGTGGTTCCTGGGTGAAACGTTTATCAGACTGTGCGGGGAGTTGATATCTGGAGAGGAGACAAGATGCTTAGCAGCAAGCCTGAGGAGCAGAACTGCAAAATCTGGCAGATCGTATCTGGGTGGGTGAAGAGTCATTGTGTGATCAGCCTCTCTAGTGAACTCACTACAGCATAGATGTAGAGTAGGTGAAGCTGATAACTTGAAGTAAAAATTTGTTGCATGCTTGTTTCCAGGGCGTGATTAAGACCTGTACCTACTTTAACAGATGCAAATGTGCTTTTTAAAGAGGGTGTTTTGGGTTTTCTGTGGGTTGGGGTTTTTTGTTTGTTTGGGTTTCTTTAAGTGCAAGAAAAATCTTGCTGTACAGAAACCTTTTCCTTCTCAAGCCTGTAATCCTTTGCTTACACCTTGGGGTAGAGGGGTAGCCCTCCCAGCCCTGCATTTAATCCTCAGTTTCTGAATTTCCATGTGGGAAAAACTCATCTTGTTTTCTTCACAAACCAGGTGAATTTGCCCCAGCAGTTGGCAACTCCCAGCATGAAACATGCTACATTTAGTTCCCCTTCCCACCCTGCAAATGCACTCTGAAAATGCTGCTGCCCTGGACCTCTGAGGGAAGGCAGAAAGGGTGGGGGTTGTGTGGCTTATATGAATAAGCAGCAATGTATTGTCACCAAAGCAGGATCCTCTTTCAAATAAGAAGTGGTGAATTAGGCCCAGTATTTGTCCTGATGTATATAAACGCTTGTTGATGACTTCCACTTTTATGCCCTTCTGTCATTTCAGATTTGCAGATCATGGCTGTATATTAGAGATCAGGGACGTAAAGTTTTTTCCTGATGGACGCTCAGTTGTTGATACAGTTGGTGTCCGTCGTTTTAGGGTCTTAAGCCATGGCCAGCGAGATGGATATAACACAGCAAACATCGAGTATCTTGAAGATAAAAAGGTGATCTATGGTGCAAAGTTATTCATACCCATGTATTGCTGGATTCACTTAAATAGCCTTTCCTTATTGCATTTCAAGCTAGCTGTGCATTATTTTTAAACCAATATCATTATAAATACTAAAGCTCTATTTTGACAACCATAGAACAAACTTTGTCTCTTCCTTTCCTTTCTTCCTTTCTGCCCTTATAGTTATCTCTGCTTGAAGTGTTACACTCCATGGATCTCAAAGTAGCTTCCGAGGCTCAGGTGCTGAGATCTGTTGTGATGTGTTGATGAGGTCCCAGTAAGGTTTTGAAACTGTTACAGACTTGAAACCTTTCTAAGAGCACATGCCCCTGTTGTTACAGAACTGACTGTTCTCCTCTTGCGCTGAAGAGTTGCAGACTTCATGTCCTCCAAGCTCTCATTTATGGAACAGATCCTCAAAGAAATGTGGGGATCTGCTCTTAAAATGAGACCTTAGTGACACGTAGTTCACTGTGCCTGTACAAGCATCCATCAGAGCTGGCTTAGAGCAGAGAATTGCAGGGAGAGGAATATTTTTTAAAAACGAGTCCTCTTTTATAAAACCTGCATCGAGCAAGGTGCTTTTGACAGTTATTGGCCAAAGGGTGGATTTTTGGCCATGCTTAATGATGACGTCTTGGATCATCTTCAGAGCATGTCTGTAAAACCCTGATCCCTCTTAACAGTGAGTTTAGTAGTAATCTCATGCCAATTCAGGAAGTCCGGTCTGGTCATACAGCTCTTCAGCATGCTCACACAGTTGAAGTGCAAGTCTGTAAAGTCGTAGTAGGGTCTTTCTCACCTGTGCAGGATGATGCAGTTGTTTGCCAGGGCAGGAAGGGCAGATTGTGTGGTAGTGCTTCCCCCCTGTAAGAGGCTGGAGTAGGTAGTCTGCTCAGAGTGAGGGCTCTGCTGTGTTTAAAACCCCCATGAAGGGCGGCAGAACACAGGTATTCAGACATTGTTTACAGATGGTGCCCGAGACCCACCTCTTCATGATTAGACTGAGATTTACCTTGTCTCACTTGAGAGGCTGACGTCTGTGTTCAGCACCCAGCTTCATATATTATCTGATGGTGAGAAATCTCAGTCCGAAGCAGCCTGTTTTATCTGCTCTGTCGTAGATACCTACATTAAGATGAGATTAATTCCCCTCTAGAGCTGTTCCTCCTTGACTGTGAAGGGCATCCAGAAAAGCTAGCTCAGATATTCATTTGAATAGCACAGGTAAATCACACTGTTGGTGTGTACAAATTAAAGGAGAGCGGGAAAAACAACCAAAAACCCCAAAGAGACAAAAAAATAATTCAAAAAAAAATCACCAATTTTTAGTGGGTTTTGCTGATGCTTTTTTTTCTTCTCCCTTTTAGCTAATAGCTTGGCCTGTGCAATTAAAACATTCTTTCCCTCAGCAAGGGTATTTTTTTTATGACTGTTCTGGTTGGGAAAGCATCCCCTTTCCCTGCTTCCTGCCTGCTCGGGTGTCTGCCCTCCTCCTCCTCCTTGGCTGTCCTGTCATGGCCTTAACACTTCTATAAAATACTGCTGGTCTCTGAAGGGCCGTAGACCCCCCCTCTCTCTGCTTGGTGGCAGTAGTGTTTTGCCAGATGTGTACTAATGTTCAGAGGTCCTTATATGATGGGAACTCAAGGTTATGGGTTTGAGATTAGTAATATGCTGTGCCAGGATCAGAGAGGAGATTCTTCTGTTGTGCCAGCATTTAGGAATGATATATTAACCAAGGCAGTGACTGCTACAAGAAGTGTCACCTAGGGGAGTGTAAAAAGACTCCAGCTTCACAGGTTTGATATCTGAGATTTGGATAGAGTTTGCTTAGATAAGGGCATTTGAACAGCTGTAGTTACTGCATTGTTTTGCTTCGCTTGCTTCTGGGGAAGTGCATGGACTCCATGGTATCAAACGTGTTTTGTTCCATCTCCCTTCTTTTAACTGTAAGGTTGAAGGACCGGAATATGAAGAACTTGTCCGCCTTCATGATTCAGTTTATGATCAAGCCGTTGCCTGGTTTACTTCTCTTAAAGATAATATGAAAGTGCAAATTCTCAATCATTTTGGGTCCATGCCAGGAAAAGAACCGGAGCCACAGGTAACAAAACCTTCCTACTTGTGGAGCCTTATTCTATACAGAATTCTTACAGAAGACTGTTTTCTGACAGGCTTTTGATGTGGTTTTGTACATTCTAAACTCTTATTTATCCAGTCTTGGTCTATTAGCATGAAGCACAGAAAACAATCAGTGGAAAGCTATATGGATAAGTTGATACCTGAAGAGGTCAGCCTTAATGGTGGTATATAGACACGGAGAGCACCTGAAATTAAGTGTTTAGTTTTTGCTTGAACAGTTTTGTGGTGACTTCCCTAGCAAATAGAAGGTGGGAAGGAAGGTGGTGTTCTTGATGGGGCAGTGCTGGCAAATACATGATTGCATGTCTCTCCATCCTTTTGCAGAGCAACCCCAGTGGTCCTGCCTGGTACTGGTGGCTCTTGGCAGTGTTGCCTCTGGAAAACAGAGCTCAGCTGGCTATATTGGCTATGACCTCCCTTAAAGATCGTCTTATCGCCATCAGACGCGTACTGATATTTGTGACTCGCAAAAGACCCAGATAACGTGGACTTCAGTTGTGAGTGGACACCAAAAGCATCTCACGACCAGTTGTTCTAGGGGAGGGCAAAAGGGGAGGGGTTGTCTTTTGGTTGGTTTTTTTTTTTTTAAAGATTCCTCGAGAAAGGAATGACCCTTTCTGACTTCGTCCAGCATCCATCGATTGCATTGGTTTGTTATCCTGGGTATTCACCAAACCTTGCACTCTCTCCTGTTGTCCTGGTGAAATCTGAGCCTCTACAAAGCTGTGCTGCAGTTAGAACGTAGCTGATAGATATGGATAATTGCTTCAAAGTACTACGATAGAGTCGATGTTTCTAGCCTGCAAGAGAGTTAAGTACTAGAGTAGCACCATTGGCCTGCATGTGATTTGGATTTCCGCTTGGTAGGAAAAGGAAACTGGACAGTGGATTGAAGAGGTGTTTCCTAGACTTTCTTGAAGGTAGCGAACAGAAGAGGAGTTACGCTGCCTGGCAGAAGTGTGCATGAAGACTATAACCGACAGTACACTCTGTAAGTGAATTGGTAGGCAGTCTGTCACACACCCGCATCTCTCCCTCTTCAGCAAATAGCAGTCTGTAAGGAAAAAAAAAACTGTGGTCAAGGCATCTGAGGATGTTTATGTGGAAGAATAATAGCTACTGAATAAGTACACTTATTTAGTAGCCTTAGGTAATCCCTCATGTTGTGATTTATGTGTTGGAGCGGATTGAGTATGTACAAAATGTTTGGAAAGGTGTACTTTGGTTTACTGAAAAAAAAAAAAAAAGTTAAAGAAGTCCTAGCTGGTCTTACCGCTAAATTCACATCAAACCGGCTCCCTAAAGTATGATAAACGCTGCTGTGAAATACTGATTTCACCCCAAGTGGCGGGGAGACACGCTGCAGTTTCCTCTGAACGCCCACTCTGCGAGTGAGACCATTGAGGAGGAAACATGGGGGGGTTTACATCTCTCTCCCGCCTGCAGTGTCCTGGCAACCTCCCCTTACGTTGGGGTGATCTCTACTGAAAATGTTTCAAACCGAAAGTATTGTAGTTTAGTACCAGTTGCTGTACGTGATGGAAATCAGTCCACAGTAACACCGTGAAAGGAGGCACAAACCGAACTTATAAAGGCAAGTCTCAATGCAAGCTTTAGTCAGGTGTTAACCTTCATTTGTCTCCGGTTATTTTTTTTTTATGTATTGTTTTGTTAATATCTAATTTTGATAGCTGTTAAATTGATCGCTTGTCAGTCAAATGATCAGTGTTTGCTCTACTGCCAATGAAATAACTAACAGTGTTACCAATTCAATTGGCATAGTTTCCTATAAGTAGAACTGATACTACCAACAGGAAAAAAAAAGTTGACTTGAATCTCCATGTGCTGCAAGCATAGCAAGACCAATGTAAAGAGTTGTTCATGTGCAGAAGTCTGGTAAGAAGAAATGGCTGTTTACCTAAATGGTCAAAGTGCCTGGTTTCTTTTTTTAGTTCTTTTGTCCTTATTTGTCAATGAAGATGTATTTAAACTTTTCTTTTTTTTGTTTTTCACTTTGCACATGAATTCTGGAATAAAACTGCATTAAAATGCAGTGATTGAGATATATATTACCAGTTCTCTTTGGGTATTGTAGTTATAACCTGTGTGGTCTGGGAAACAAAAATACAGAGGTTTTTTTCCTTTCAGCAAATGGCTACCACAAATGGTTTGTGTAACATACCCTGAATGTACTGTAACTGCCTCTACCTTGAACACGCCTTTTCTATTTAAATAGTTTGTAAGTGTATTCTCTGAATTGTGAAGTGCATAACTTACAACCAATGATGTCATAACCTCTACAGTAGCCTTCTGCAAGTTCTGCTACCGTCACCAAAATACTCAAAATCCAAGTTGAACGCATTTCCTCCAGGATTTGATGATGACAAAGAGGAAGTCACTGAAGTATAAAGGAGTCGTTCTGTATGTGTGGTGAGGAAATGTCAGACGTCAGTAGGTGTTCAGCCCACCGTCAGCCGAGCTACCAAAAGGGTGTTTTTGCTCCCTTAATTCTCAGACCAGAAGATGGACTGTACTTGATCTCGCAATCCTTTCTGTTCAGCTTCCTGTCCTTCCCATCCCTTTCCATGCTGTGTTTTCTAGACTCACTCGTCTCGCTCCTTTGTGTGTCTGGCCTAGTTTTGAGTATTATTAGTTTAGCTGCAGGGAGATGCCGATGGTATTTGTATATTGCTGGTCCCTGATCTTACGTGTGCGTAGTTCTGCATATAGGAGTGCATTTAAGGAAAAAGAAAAAAAAAAATCAAGGTGCTAGTTAGTGTCTTCTTGGCTTTGCCTCAGTAACTAATGTGAATATTCTTTGCAAAAGTGATTTTTTTCAAGATATCTACTTTCGAGGTACTTCTGCGAGGAAACCCTACAGAACAAGAGAGGTTATTTACTGCTGTTCTGTAATATGTAAAGACATATTTTACATGGAAAGTGACATTACTGTGTTCATGAAGGCCTGCATAATTAATGGAATGATAGTTATCGAAGAGAAAGCTGAACTGTAGAGGGATTTTTTTTTAGTCAAGGTTTAAAGGGGTTTGTGAATATTTCAGTGACTGATGTTTTGGATAAATGATAACAACTTAGGAATTGTCTGTGCATGGATGCAGATAATCATATTAGCAGCCCAAAGCTGACACTTCTTCCAAAACATTGAATGCTGATCAAATAGCAAAGCTTTAATAAATAAAAAAAAAATAAAAAATCACCACTGCCCTGTGGTACTTGCTTTCTAAGGGAAAGTACCAATTTCACTGTTACCAAATTATCTCTGCCATATAATCTCTACAGCATCCAGTAGTACCTCATGGGAAAAGCTAGCTATCTCGTTTCTCTCTAAAGGTAGTGTCCACGTTACGGCCAATCTACGCTTAGGTGTAACTTGTCGCCAAGGTACATGTGGAAGCATTGGAGCTGAGCTCCTGGAAGAGATAGACAGTATTTGTTGCCTTTCTAGCTCATTACACTTTTCTTGCTTGCTGTCCAAGCAAGGATGCTGGGATATATGATGAGTCTTTTCACTGTGGTGAATGTGGCCCTTCTTTATACATCGTAAAGAGGCCCAAAAAAAAAAAATCCCTCTACCTCTACACCTGTTGTTCACCTGTAAAGCTTCAAGCTACAAAACGATATATATATTTTAACCTTTTTTTGTCTTTCAGAAGCATACTAATTGTTTGCCACTGAGGCCTTTTATCTACTGTATTTTAATATGTTCATTTGATAGTCATCGAGATCTCTTTGTACTTCTAACCTGTAGATCTTGTCATGTTTCTTACTGCTCCTTTTTCCTCCTTCTCCAGTCCACTTTTAAATTGATAAATAGAAAGCTGTACACTCTCTATTCCTATTACATTTTACACTAGTGGAACTGGTATTTTGGTAGCGCCTTAATTTTGCAGTTGTGAAATGATTGTATCTTATCTGGGGCTTCTGACCAGATTTAAACGAGTATGTTTAATGTAGATAAACTTGAAACCATTTTTTACTGTTTTAAAGCTAGTTATGAAATGGAGTGTGTACATATGTATAAATATAAATTATTAATCTGCACCTTTTTGTATCTAGTAAATACAGGAGAAGTTCATGTTCTAACCACATTTGGCACATCTTGTTGCATAAGCAAAGCCAAAACTTTTTTTAAAAATTGCAATGTTCATTTCATGTATATTTGCAATATTCATGGGAAATGTATTTAATTTATGTGATATTTGGAATAAAACAGATTGAATTTATAAGAGCATGAGTTTATGGGAAACCTTTATCCCTCTGTGAGGCTGGAAAGCTAGAGCTGTGATAAGTGCAGCCTGAACAGAAACGAGCCGCTGATGTGCAGCCGGCGGGAGGGGAATGATAGTTTGATTTCCCCTGCAGGAGCCCGAGGGGTGAGAATTGAACTCCTGAGGTTTTAAGAAGCAGGTGGCATCCCAAAAGTGGTGGGTACATACTGGGGTTCGTAAGTTAAGGGCCAAAGGTTTTTGCCCCAGTGTGAGCGAAGCGGGGGGAGGCTGCGGCACGCCCGGGGCTCGCTGGGGACCCAGGGCTGCCTGTGGCACTGGATGAGAATGTGAGGGGTGAATTTGAAGGGGAGCTGGAGGTCTCCAAAATGGGAGCGGGGGGGGGTATGGAACCCTCAACAGAGGTGGGAGTGGAGAGATGAACCCTTGGCACCCCCACGGGCAGGGTGCAGCAAAGATGGGAGAGAGTTACACAGTGGGGTCTTCGTTTTGTAGCTTCTTGGATTGAGTGTTTTTTAGTGCTGAGTGTGACCTGACTGGCCTCATGGAATAAACTCTGAAAAAATATGGTTACAGTTAAGGACGATTCTTTATTGACTAAGCCCAGGGTAGTAAAGTACCTTCAGGGTGCTGCGAGGTGGAGGCGATGTTCCCCACTGAGGCACTGGGCATGGCTGGCACCGGTGTGTGAAGTGGTGGGACACCAGCCAGGCGGCAGCGGCAGCAAAATGTGGTTGTGGGAGGGCAAAGCTGAGCCAGATTGCAGAGACCGTGTCCCACCCCTCAGCCACATCTCACTGCCAGCTGAGCAAAACCACTCCAAAGACACTTTTTGTAAATATTAGCCTTTTTTTTGGTTGTTTTTTTCTGGTGTTGAATTGACTTTGGCCTTTGTGCCTGTATTTACTGAATGTCTGAGCAAATAAACATCAGTTAGAGGACTGCTGTTTTAAAAAAGGAGTTGCAAGTGTGTGTTGGAGTGTGCATGTAAGCACTGCATGAGCTGTTTTGATATGCTAGACAACAGTGTTCTTTAAACATCACCACTTCCACCAAAGAAAGGAGGTAGGTAAAGGTGATTTGATCCCTTTCCTTTTTATTATCTGGAGCCTTGTGCACCTCAAGACTTGGAGAGCAATAGAAGCAAATGCATGAAGTTAGTAAATATTAGCAGGGTCTTTTTTTTTTTTCTTCTGATCCTGCATATCCTCTGTTAAATGTCAAGCCCTGGTAGGGCAGCATATGAGATTGAGCGACCTTCCCTGAGCCTTAGAGCGATGCCATTCCTAGAGTGTGGAAACCATAGTGGTCTGTTGTCCTCTTTGCATTTATGCCTTGTCAAACAGGGAACTTGAAATAGCACTGCTTAATTCTGTCCAGCAGCACTTCTATTTGGAAGGCTGAGCACTTGCTGGAAGCTGTTGCATATTGAGCCATAGAATAAGAAAAATGAATAATGTGGATGAAAAAAATCTGAGACTGTGTCTATGGGACAAAAAAAAAGATGTGAATCCATGCCAGTGTTTTCCTTAGTTCCTTTAACAAATGTGTGTACTACACTTGCAGCTAAAAGACGGGCATGTTTTTAATCACATTTACATTACATGGTAGGAACAAGTTGTTTCTAAATCGAGATGAGTATCGCTGACAAATTTTATAGCTCTGTTCTACCGTATGTGGGGTTCAGTCTTGCCTGCTAAATTTG